AGGGAAATGTGCCTTTCCAGGCAGGAGGCAAAGCAGCACTCGGGGAAGGAAAAGAGCCAGCATAGCAGAACCTCATATGTCAGACCTGGATCAAGAGCCTGTGGCTCTGTGTGATTTCCCAGTGCTTTGATCAGCCTGTTTAATCAGTCTGTGTATGGCACTAGACATCCATCCTGAGCCTTCCCAGGGGACTCTGCCCAGATTGCCAGCAGAGCCTGTGTGTGCACATCTGTCTCTGGAGTCATCGCTGCCTCCTGGCATCCCTCCTGAACTGAGGGGCCCAGAACTGGGCACAGGATTCAAGGTGTGGCCTCACCAGCACCGAGTCCAGGAGCAGAATCACCTCCCTGGTCCTGCTGACCATGCTGTTCCTGACCCAGGCCAGGATGCCATTGGCCTTCTTGGCCACCTGAGCACTGTCCTGATGAAGTGACCCTCTCCAGCTTCCCTGGAGCTCTTTCAGATACTGTGAGGTCTCTGCACAAGCTGCTCTTCTCCAGGCTGTCTATCCCAGCTCTCCCAGGCTGTGTGTGCAGGGGAGATGCCCTGGTGACCATGTGCTCTGTTGCAGCTGCAGTGGAAGCCTGTGTGCTGTCGGGGCTGAAGCGAAGAGCCGCCGGGTTCCTGCGCAGCAACAAGATCGCCGCGCTCTTCATGAAGGTGGGCAAGAGCTTCCCCCTGGCAGAGGAGCTCTGCAAGAAGGTGCAAGACCTGGAGCAGCTCATTGAGAATGCGTAAGGCACTGGTGTTGCTGTCATCCCACTGGTGGTTTGGATTGGGAGTGTAGTTTGGGTATGGTTGGGCACTGTGATGTCCAACTTGAGTCTCGATGGAAGGAACTGCTCCTTCTGTGGAGCAAAGTCCTGTCTTGGGCTCTGGATATCTTGACTGAATTGGTGGTATTTCTAGGAGACTGAGTTGTGCTTTAAGCAGAGGTTCTTACTCCCTCTGTCCCTGCTCTCATACTTCAGGGACAGCCAAGCTGCTCCTGAGCTGTCGCAGTTTATGGACCAGTTCACTAAGCCAACTGGAAACACTTTTGGTCTGTCTCAGTGTGCAGGGCCTGAACCTGCAGTAATTCAACTGCTGTTTGTGAGAGGCTTACTCATCCTTGGACAGGAACTAGGGAGATGGATGGAGCAGCTACCTGGGGGCAGGAATTTTCTGCTGTCCTAAAATAAGCTGCTCTGCCTGTGAGCTGCTGTCCTCAGGCAGTGGAGAGGTGTGTGGGTGGAAGGACTCTGCTGAGGGAGAGGCTCATTCCGGGGTGTCTTCACAGTGGGAAACTGATTTACTGACTGTTTTCAAGGGCAGGTGTGGCCTTCTGGAGCAGGGGGTGGGATAACTGCTGGGAGAACCTCCAGAGCCCTGTCCCAGGCAGTTCCCTGGGTATCCCCCAGTCAGCACCACCAAAACCCTGTCCTTGTGCCCCATGGGGTGCCAGGAGTGCCCTGGGCTCCTGCAGAGCTCAGGGATGAGCCAATGATGATGTTGTCTCTTGTCTTGTACCTGTAAAGGCGAAACCAAGGCCAGGGTGTCCCAGAGAACACACGCAAGGTGCCCAAGCTGCCCAACCTGTCTCCTCAGGCCATCAAACACCTCTGGATCCGCACAGCCCTCTTCGAAAAGGTCTTGGATAAAATTGTGCACTACTTGGTAGAGAACAGCAGGTGAGTGCTGGCACAGGGCACACATTTACCTGTCCCAAAACATCTCCCCTTTGGTGGTGCTGGAGGTGCTGCTGGTTGAGCTGTGTCCAAGTGGCCCAGAGAAGCTCCTGGATGGGATAGGCCAGTTGTGTCCCTCTGTGCCCATCACAGACTCTGATGGATGCTGTGCTGCTGCTGGCCACCATGTACTCCCTGAGATAAAGACAGGCCTTGCCCTGCTGATGGGTGGGATGTCAGGGACTGCATTGTCCTTGTTTGCTGGGACCTGCATGCCAAGGTGACCTGTCCTGGGGAGGATCTCCAGTCCTGGGCAGGTTTTGTTAGGAGATGGGGGTGCTTGCAATGTGCTGCAGGAGGGTGTCTGTTCCCCAGGCATTTCATAGCCTGTTGAGGGCTTCTTGCCTTTTCCCATCAAGGGGTGATACAGAGAAGGGCATGACAGGGATTTAAATCATTGTCATGAATGGAACTTGCAGTTCCAGAGCATTGAAACACTCCAGCATTCTGCTCTCTTATTTTTTCCAGTAAGTACTATGAGAAAGAAGCTCTCCTGATGGATCCTGTGGATGGGCCAATCCTTGCCTCTCTGTTGGGTAACACTTCCCCCTTACCCTACTTCCATCACTTGCTCCCCAAACCTGTGCCCCAGGTCTGGGATGTGCAGTGCAGATGTTTTCCCTGTGGATCTGGGAGGTGACCGCGGTCGTGGGAACACCGATGGCTCCTTCATGTTTGAGATGTTCCTCCTTGCAGTGGGACCCTGTGCACTGGAGTACACAAAGATGAAGACTGCTGACCACTTCTGGACAGATCCCTCTGCAGATGAGCTGGTCCAGAGGCACCGGATCCACAGCTCCCACTGCCGCCAGGACTCTCCCACCAAGCGCCCAGCGCTCTGTGTGAGTGGGGGGACAGTCCCTCCCTGTGCTCCTCCCAGAGCCACAGGCTCCTCTGGCTTGAAAAGGGCTGTGGAGCCCTGTGATGAGGGGAGGCTTTGAGCTACAAGTGCTGGAAACATGGTCCATGGTTGCTGATGGTGTTGTGTGCGTGGCACTGCGTCCTGGGGTCTGTATCCCTAGGGAACAGCATGTGTGAATGACAAACTGAAGCCTGATCTGTTTATTGCCAATAAAACACACTCCTAAGGCTTCTCTAAGTACACAACCAAGCTTGGCCAGAGCCAGGAATCCTCTTAGAGGACACAAAGATTGCTAGTAGTGACTTGAAGTGGATAAGTAAGGGGGGGATGAGCTTCAAGAGAAGCTTTTGGAGAGCCAGAGGTGTCTGTGCTCACCTCAGGTTTGTGGGTGGGTCTCTTGCAGATTCAGAAGAGACATTCCAGTGGCAGCATGGATGACAGACTGTCGCTGTCTGCTCGGGACTATGTGGAGTCTCTGCACCAGAACTCCCGAGCTACACTGCTCTACGGCAAGAACAACGTCCTGGTGCAGCCAGTGAGTCCTGCTGGGGTGTCTGGGGGGCTTGAAATACTGCCCTGCTGCCCAGCAAGTGTTCTAGCCCAAAATGCTCCTGGATGGAGGAAAGCAGAGTCTCATTTTTTGACCAGGAAGGCAGTGAGTGGGCTGTGTTTGTTGAGGTCCTGGTGCTGCGGATCTTTCCAGTGGAATGGAAGAGCTCTGCTCCAGTCTGAGGCTCTTCTCCCTCCCCACTCTACCACAAAACTGCTCCTCCTGTCTCTTCCTGCTTCTTGCAGTCAAATAAATGAGCTACAAACTGCTTTTAGGGGGAACTGTTAAGTTTTCCTTGCTGGACAGTTGCTCTCAGCCCTTTCCCAACCGATGAGGTGTCGTAATCTTTCCAGTGGAATGGAAGAGCTCTGCTCCAGTCTGAGGCTCTTCTCCCTCCCCACTCTACCACAAAACTGCTCCTCCTGTCTCTTCCTGCTTCTTGCAGTCAAATAAATGAGCTACAAACTGCTTTTAGGGGGAACTGTTAAGTTTTCCTTGCTGGACAGTTGCTCTCAGCCCTTTCCCAACCGATGAGGTGTCGTAGCTGCCAGGGCTGGACAGTTGCTCTCAGCCCTTTCCCGACCGATGAGGTGTCCTGGAGTCTCTGCCAGGAGGTTTTTCAGGGCCACGGTGGGTTCCTCACTGGTGGTGAGTGGGTGGGTTTGGGGGCAGCAGGCTATGTGAGGAGCCAGGACTGGGCTCCAGGGCAGCCTGGAGTGATGCTTCATGCTTCTGCTGTCTTCCAGCTCACTCTGTCCCTGTGTTTCTCTTCCCAAGCGAGATGACATGGAGGCAATCCCAGGCTATCTGTCCCTTCACCAGACTGCTGACATCATGGCACTCAAGTGGACCCCAAACCAGCTGATGAATGGCTCTGTGGGGGATCTGGACTACGAGAAGAGGTGACTGGTTCAGAGTGCAGCAGGGGCAGAGGGGGAAAAATGATGTGTTTTTTCCATCTCACCTTTCCTCCTGGCCCCATGGCTGATCAGTTTTGCCTGGTACCTTCTCCCTGAAATGCTGTTTTCATCTCTACATTCCTTTTCTGTGTTCTTCACTTGGGCATCAGCCTAAGCTCTAAAACTTCCCAGAGTCAAGCCATGACTAAGAAGGAGAGGAGGCAGATGGCACAGTACGTGTGACTCTACAAGGAGTGACTCTTGCACACCTTCCTGTCCCTCATGAGCCATTTTTAACACCATTTAAGTGCTATTTTTGTGAAGTGGCACATGATACTGCTCAGACTCTGGGAATTTGCTGTGTTGCAAAGGATTAGGATGTGATTGAGTGCTGACACCCTTGGAGAACAGTGCTGGGCACTCCACAGGATCCATGGGCATGTTGTCCCTGTCTGTGAGGGTAAACACCTGGGGCAGGTGGCACTGGACTTGCCCTGGTTGATCTGAGGTGTCAGGGACAGTTACTGGTCCTATGTTGTCACTCATCAGGCTGCTGTCACTGCTCTGGGATCTCATCCTTCCTGTGGCTTCCCCTGGTTCCTCTCACCTCCCTGAGCTCACTTGTCCTTCTCTCTGTTCCAGTGTGTACTGGGACTATGCCATGACCATTCGCCTGGAGGAGATTGTCTATCTGCACTGTCACCAGCAAGGTAAGGCCAGAGCAGGGACTGCTGGAGCCTGTGTCACCCTGACACCAACTTCCTAACCCTTGGGGAGTACCTGTGTGGGGATGTTTGGCTTCAGCTCCAGGGCAGATCTCCAGAGCTCTGGGTGGTCACTAGGGTGTAAATGCTTCTAAGAAAACCCTTCCAGCAGCTCCAGGCTGTGGTGCTTGGCCAGGAGTGCTCCCTGCAGGGCAGGGCTCTCTGGTTTCCAAGGCTGTGATCCCAGCAAGCCTTCTCCAAGGCCCTAGGCTTGTTTGATTTATTCTCTAAGTCCACTGCAAGGAAGCAAGTCATTTTCCACACCAGAAAGACAATTCCCTGAGTTTTCCTGCCTTCTGGGCTGGTGCTGTTTCCCTCATTCATGCCTGTGTCTCCTCTCTGCTGTCACTGCTGCCAATAGTAGACAGTGGTGGGACAGTTGTCCTGGTGAGCCAGGATGGGATCCAGAGGCCACCACTGCGGTTCCCACGAGGAGGACACTTGCTGCAGTTCCTGTCCTGCCTGGAGAATGGTCTCCTGCCCCATGGGCAGCTGGACCCACCTCTCTGGTCACAGAGGGGAAAGGTAGGTGCTCCAAAACTGAGTTTGTTCCTGGCATTCCTCTTGGTGTTCCCATGTGGAGCATCTCGGAGCAGAGCTGGTTGGGGAGGAGACTTTGCCCAATGTTTGTGGCTGCTGTGTTTTGTGTAATTCCCTTCCCAAAGCTAAGAAGGAAATGGGTTTAAAATACAGCTCATGGCCTTGACCAGCTAAACAAACCCTCTGGCAAAATCAGGAGGGTGGTGGTGTGGGAGTGTTGGGCATGAGGTATGGTGGGTTTGGGTCTCGTGGAGGGTTGTACATCCCCTGTGCACAGCAGAGCTATAGATTCAGAGCTATATATCTCTTCCTGTAAGTGGAAGCTTAACTCAAAGGCTGCTCCAGCCCAGGGAATGTGCAGACATCATGGGCTGCTGCGTGGGGCAGGAGTTGGGCAAGGAGGCTGTGCCCTGCAGGTGGAGCCTAGTGACTCCTGAGGGTTTGTTCCCCCAGGGGAAGGTGTTTCCCAAGCTGAGGAAGCGAAGTCCCCAGGGCTCCTCTGAGTCTGCATCCGATAAGGAAGATGATGAAGCCACAGATTATGTTTTCAGGATCATCTACCCTGGGACACAAGCTGAGTTTGGTGAGTGCAGGGCAGAGTGTTCTGGGGGTTCTTGTGGGGTTAGGAGCCACCAGGCCATGGTGCTGTGACAGGCACACAGCAAATGGTGCTGGAGGTGGTTCCAGGGGAAGGAGCTTTGGGTGTGCCAGTGCTGCTCTCTGTTCAACATCATCATTCCTCCCTGTGAGGTGCTGAGGCACTGGCACAGGTTGCCCAGAGCAGCTGTGGCTGCTCCATCCCTGGGAGTGTTCCAGGCCAGGTTGGATGGGGCTTGGAGCAACCTGGATAAGTGGAAGGTGGATGATAAGATGAGCTTTAAGGTCCTTCCAACCCAAACCATTCCATGTTCTATCTGTTTTATTGTTTTAACTTTCCACTTGCTGCTGAGTCCTTTGTTTCTGCAGCTGCACAACAGCCTCAATGGGCAGAAAAACCTCTTGCACCTAATTTCAGTAGGAAGGTTCACTTTGGTCACTAGTGGGAGTCACTTTTCAGCATCACAAGCCCCCAAGGCTCATTCTTCTCTTGCTGTCCCCAGGTCAGCTCAGCCAGAGCTGCATTAAATCCAGGGATGTTCCTTCAAGTGTGGCTTCTGCAGCACAGAGGGGAGGTCACAGCATCCTCTGGATGCTGCCAGGCTGGACCATGTGTCTTCAGTCCCTAACTCATGGGGCAGGGGAGGGAATGCTGCTGGATTCTCTTCATGTCTGGTGGTGAATGGTCTGAGCTTGGCTGAAATGCCTCTCCATTTGTCCTCACTCTTCTGTGAGATACCAAGAGCCATTTCCTGATGTCTGGGACAGCAGGGAAAAAAACATGAGTTTTGGATAGAAAACTTGTGGAGTGTTTTTTAAAAAGCAATGAAATCTGATCAAAACCTTGTTTCTATATCTTTGAGGCTAGGAGGAGGAAATCACATCCCTTGTGACTCCTCCCTCACTCCAGCAGAGATTTTATGTGTTTCTCTCTGCCTTTAGCTGACTAACACAACTCAGTGAGTCAGATACAAACCTGATTGAGGCTAAAGCAGCACACAGAGCTGCTCCTTTCTGTGCCTTTTGATCTACCCCTTAAAGTTCCATGCTGGGGGCCACATTTCCAGGGAAATGAATTGCTGCAATCTCCTCAGCTGGTGTCATCACAGCCTGTGCTGTTCCTGTGCACTTTCCCACAGGGGATGGAACTGCATCTTTCTCTCCTCTCTACAGATTCCTTTCTGCCCTTTCATTTGTGCCCTTGTCCTCTCTCTGTGTCTCTAGTTCCCATTAATGGTACTTTTCACCCATTCCTTGTACCTCTGATGTCCATGAGTGCTGGGAGAGGGAAGAACCTGAGGACTCCAGCTGCAAGCAAGATGATGGTGATCCCTAAACGGTGGCTGAGTCTCCCCAGGACATCCAGACCTCCCCGTGCTGCTCTGGGGACCTCTCAGCATCACTGTATGGGGCTGTTGTTTGTGTCTGGCACTCAGCTCAGCTGTGTTGTCACTTGGCAGTTCCTGCAGACGTGTCCCTGTCACTGCTGACCATCACTGACCCATCAGCTCAGTGGGAGGGGAAGGAAAGGTCTTTCATAGGAGTAGTTTAGTGGTTTTTCTTGCTAGTACCAGTTACTCAATGCCATGAGCAGGGAGAGTCAGTGAGACCAAGGAAAACATCTCATAGCCAGAAAGTGGAATTTCTACCATGATTTAATTTACAAGGAGGAATAAATAGGATGGTCCTCATCTCCTGGACAAGGTGTGGGAGGACCTGAGCAGGACCTGAGGCTGTTGCAGTAGCACTTGATGTCTAAGCAGGAATTAACAAGTGACAACATACAGAGCTCCTCTGTCCCTCTCAACCTCTTCATCCAAGTCTTCATATCCTGTCTCATGATTTGGATGTTCCTTTCTTTCCCTGAATCTTGGATGGGAACCGAGTGTTTGGGACATGGGAGCTTTCCCTTCCAGTGATCCACACTTCCTGGGATAGCAGTTGATTTCAATCCTGTGTTTTCTCATCTGTTTCAGTCTGTTGCAGCCCCTTCTCTGGAGTCTGTGTTGGGTCTCTGCCTTGGTCAGCACTCAGCAGTTTCAGATGAGTTTGCTGAATCAGCTTGTTAATTAGCAGATGTTTCTCTCTCTCATCAATGCTCTTTGTTCCCTTTCCTTTCTCCTGAGCTCACCAGTGCTGGTGCTGTGATTCCCTGCACTGGGCCCTACCTGGTTGTTGGAGCCTCCTTGGGAAGAGCATGGGATGCTGCATTTGCTAATCAAAGCTCTCTGTTGCCCTCCTGTAGTTCCCTGACTGCAGGGGCAGTGCCTAATGCTCCTCTCTGCCCTCCTGCAGTGCCCCAGGACCTGATGGACCCTCCAGGGGCTGTCCTGCCCCCCATGTGGCAGCCCAGCACCCGCAAGTCCTCCTGCTCCTCCTGCTCCCAGAGTGGCTCCTCGGGTGGGGGCTCCAGCCACGAGAGGTATGAGGAGCTGCTGCTCTGAGACAAGGGGACAGCAAAACCAGGGCACAGGTGGAGCAAATATGGTGCAGGTGGTGTCTCCAGCCTCACACTGAGCTGTCCAGGGACCATTGCAGGCGTTGGTGAGATGTTTCCAATCTGAGGATTAGATACTGTCCAGGGACCATTGCAGGCGTTGGTGGGATGTTTCCAGGCTGAGGATTAGGTATTAGAACATTTTTCCACTGTGTTAGGCATTGGGATAGGTTGCCCAGGGAGGTGGTGGAGTCACCATCCCTAGGAGTGTTTAAGAGGTGTCTGGATCTGACACTGGAGGATATAGTTTAGGGGTTACAGGAGTGAGAGCTTAGTGGTTGGACTTGATGATCTTAGAGGTCTCTTCCAACCTTGATGATTCCATGATGTTATTCTGTGATAGGTGAAGCTTGTCCCCATGTCTGGAACATCTCAGCTGCTCTGTGTCCTAACAGCAAGAACTGCTGCTCTAAAGCTGAGCAGGGTCCTGTGGTGCATTTCTGCTGGATCAGCCAGATCAAAGCTGGGCTGAGTGGGATGACTGGGAGCATGTCCTCCCCTCACATCCCATGTGTTTTCATTGGCAGAGCTCCACTGAAGCTCCTGTGTGACAACATGAAGTACCAAATCCTCTCCCGAGCCTTCTATGGCTGTGAGTACCTGTCACATCCTGCTGCCTTGGGGTGTGGGATGGGTGGGGGATAAGGTCCCATGGGCTAGGAGTGTCCAAGGGCACTGGGTCCACTGGAGAACAAATATGTGGACTGTGATCTTCGGGCTAGAGTCCAGTGAGCAGCTGCACTGATGATATAAGATGATGAGATACCTGTCCCAGTAAACTCCCAGCCTTGAGGACTGGATGTGGCAGCAGAGAGTCTCCCTCATGGTCCAGACTCATCAGAACTTCCTCCTGCTCCTCATCCTCGTGGCTCCCTGGCTTCCATGGGTGAATGTTTGGTTTCCCTGCTGCAGGGTTGGCCTACTGCAGACACCTGTCCACGGTGAGGACACACCTGTCCGCGCTGGTGAACCACAACATCGTGTCTCCTGATGTGCCCTGCAGTGCCAGCTCAGGGCTCACTGTGGACATCTGGCAGAGATACCTGCAGGACAGCACGGTAGGGCCAGTGGTGCTCTGGGGACACACTAGCTGTGGTGGGCTTGGGGTGGCCAGGGCAGTGTCACTGAGGTGGTTGTGCCATGGTGAGGTCAAGCAGGTTAAGGAGTTCCTCAAGGAGAGAAGTCAACCAGCCTGTGCCAGGCTGCACAGAGCCAGGGCTCCTCATCCTCAGCACGTGGGAGCTGAGGAATGGCTGCTGCTCTCCTAAAGGTGTTTCTGCTCAGAGCCCATCTGCAGCAGTGTCTGTCACCCCAGTGCTGTGGTGTTGAGGGTGGTCCTGATGTGCTGCCAGGCTCAGAGGCACAGCAGTGACCCTCTGACTCTGGTGGGCCAGTTTGTGGCTGTGGTGGGCCAAATGTCCACCTACAGCAGCCTCTGGTTCTACCTAAACCAAAGGAGGGATTAAAGGATCATCTGCAGTGGGTTTGGGAGGGTCTGGGCAGCACCCTGAAAGGTGTCACAGCCAGGCTGGGAATGCCCTTACATCTGCTGGACCATAGTCCTGATTGGGAGGGTCTGGGCAGCACCCTGAAAAGTGTCACAGCCAGGCTGGGAATGCCTTTACATCTGCTGGACCATGGTCCTGGCTGTGCCTGTGCCCTGACTCTGAGCTCTTCCCACAGAGTTATGAGGACCAGGAGCTGCTGCGGCTGATCTACTACGGTGGGATCCAGCACGAGATCAGGAAGGCTGTGTGGCCCTTCCTGCTGGGCCACTACCAGTTTGGGATGACAGAGGCAGAGAGGAAGGAGGTTGGTGTGGCTACTGCACAGCTTGGAGGGTTTTAGCAGAGCTCATCCTGTGAGCCCACTGGGCATTGTGTCCTCTCTGCACTGGGCTGGAGGTAGGAGTGGGAGAAAGACTTGGATCAGCAGGTATTGATAGGACCAAGCTTCATGCTGGTTGCTCATGCTGAGTGCCCTGTGCTCCTCTGGAAGGAAAGGAGAGGAGATGGATGCCCATTTTTCCATCTGGAAGGAAAGGAGAGGAGATGGATGCCCATTTTTCCATCTGGAAGGAGAAGAGATGGATGCCCATTTTTCCATCCTAATTTTGGCCAGGTTTGGGGGTCAGGCACTGTGCAGGGAATGGGTGACTATATCCCATCTAGCCTGAGCTAGAAAACCTAATGAAAACATACAAAAGTGGCCCAAAGTTGTGCAAAACTCTCAATTTGCTCAAATATTTTGCAGAATCAGTACAAGAAAACTTAGAAATAAAAAAAAACCCCTACAAAATAACAACTCTGCAGGGATTTGTCCCATGGTAGCAGCAGGAACGTTGCCATCTCAGGGTGGAAATCTTGGCTCGCGTGGGGAGTTGGGTGCTGTCAGTGTTGCCCTGCCCTGCGTGGGGCTATCTGGGGGTGCAGGAGGGGCTGTTTTGGGGGCTCCCCAGGGCCTGCCAAGCCAAACTCGTGTCCCCACCCTGCAGGCTGATGAGCAGACCCGGGCGTGCTATGAGCACACCATGGCCCAGTGGCTGGGCTGCGAGGCCATCGTCCGGCAGCGCGAGAAGGAGTCGCATGCCGCCGCGCTCGCCAAGTGCTCCTCTGGTGCCAGCCTGGACTCCCACATCCAGAGGATGATGCACAGGGATTCCACCATCAGCAACGAGGTAAGGATGGGAGGGCTTGGGGGGAGGCTGTGCCCACCTTGGCTCTGCGTTGGATGGAGGCACAGAGCTTGTCCACCTTCCTTCCCTGCCCTGTGCCCACCTTGTGCCTTGGTGCTCACTGATCTGTTCAAGTTGGAGCTTTTTTCACCTGTTTTCTTTCTTTTTATCACCTGTTTTCTTTCTTTTTTTGACCTGTTTCCTTTCACCTGCCCTCCTAGAGTGTTGAGCAGTCAGAGCAAGGAACTCCTGCACCATGACCACAGTTCCATACTCTCATAGAATCATAGAATTTTAAGGGTTGGAATGGACCTTACAGATCATCCAGTCCCAACCCCCTGCCCTGGGCAGGGACATCTCCCCACTAGACCAGGATGCTCAAGGCTTCATCCAGCCTGGCCTTGAACATTGCCAGGTTTGGGGCATTCACCACTTCCCTGGGGAGCCTGTACTAGTGTCTGATCACCCTCACAGGAAAGAACTTTTTCCTAATATTCACTGACCAAGAGGTTTTGGGTTGCAGCGAAGGGGAATATTGAAAGTCTAACAGATTTGCTTTGTCTGTCACAGCCACAGTGTCCCAGCAGCACTGAACAGCTTTGAATCTGTGACCCTATGGGGGTGTTGGGCATGGAAAGTCTGTAAAACAATGGCAGCAGGTAGAGGGCAGGGGGACCTGGCAGGGGCAGGAGAGCAGCAGAACCCCAGAACTCATTTAGGGACCACATGTCCAAATCTAGACACACTCACCAGTCTTAGAGATGTTCCTTGTGGGTATGTGGAGGACAAGAGATACTCATTACCCTGCTGCATGGTCCTACTTAGACACCATGGAAGGTGGTGTTGAAGTAGGAGGAGGGAGGAAGACCATGTTCCTGGTGCTGGGGGGCTGTGAAACAGGTTAGTTTGCTTCCTGGCTCTCTTTTCCATCAGCTGCTCAGCACGGAGGAGCCTTGGTACACTCTCGGTACACCCTGGGTACACTGTGCCATCGTGGGACAGAGCTTGGGGACTCCCAGTTCCGTGGGACTGGATTTTAGCAGTGCAGTGAGGAGTTAGATCCACAGCCCAAACCAAAGGGTGTGGAGGAAAAAGCCTGTTAGAGGAAAGGCAGTCCTGGGAATGGAATCCAGGGAGTGTTTCCGTGAGAGTTTTGTCCTTGGAGGAGGAGAGCCTGGCATGGCATGCAGGACTGGTTAGCTGAGCTCTGCCACACCACAGGCCAAGGGAAGCCCAGAGGGACAGAGCCTGGAAGGTGCAGTGCTGGAGACTTGGTCTGATTCCTTCTGGGAAGTTTGTGTGGGTGCTATGGGAAAGAAATGAGCTCAGCCCCGACCCTACATGTGTGTGCCAAGAGGGAGAGGTGCAGGGAGGTCTGAGCCAGGGGCTGTGTGAGAGCTGGGTGATGCAGCTCTTGGGGTGAACACAGTTGGGGTGCACTGTTGGTGTGGCTGAAACCCCAGGGATCATTCCCATCCCCTCAGCATCTCTACTTGGTCCTTCTGTTGCATCTGTGTGTGCCTGTTCTGGGAACAGGCTCTGGGAGGGGAGCTGGCAGAGTTAGCACAGGCAAAGGTTCACCCTTTCTCCATCTCAACCTGAAATTTCCTGTTACAAATGCTGCCATGGTGATGGAGGAAAACTGTCACCCTTCCTCTCTCCATCCCAGCCCTGCCCAGCAAACAGCCACTGCAGGAGGGTGGGGACAGCTCTGCTGCTCTCAAGGGGCTGGATCTTCTGAAAATCCTATTGTTTGGGTGTGATGTCATTGCCATGCTCTGCACATCTGCTCAGATAACAGGAGAACTTGCTCTAAGCAAAGGTTGGTGGCTCAGAGGGAACCCATGGGGCTGACACGGAGCTGCTGCCTGCAAAACCCAACCCTTCCCTCCTTGGGAAGCTGGAAGCCAGAGCAGGGTGCTCATGGCTTTGAGAGGGGCTGCCTCCACAGAGTCTGGCCTATAACATCAATATTTGTCCTTGAAGAAAAGAGAAAATGCATGAATATGCTTGGAGGACCTGCTTTATAGCCCATGACTTCAGGGTTTATGTAAACCGAGCTGGGGAGAGCTGCACTGCTGCCAAATTAGGACAGAGGTTTGTAGAACTTTGCACTCCAGGGAGGGAGGCAGTGTGACCTCTCTGCAGACCAGAGGAGAGTGATTCCTTTCAGACCCAACACACAGTGCCTGAACAGCTGCACTAACCTGGGACTTTGGCCTTTGTCACCTTCCCCAGCAGTTGAGGCACTGTGCTGGGTGACAGCAGCATCCCTCATGGGGCAAATGGGAGAATTTCCTGGATGCCTTTTCTGCCTGTTCTTCACCTGCAGATGTGCCACCTTTGCTAGAGCTCCCCCACTCCCAGGCCCTGTCCTCTTTGCCTTCTCAGTGTTTCCCTCTCCCTTGCAGTCCTCGCAGAGCTGCAGCTCTGGCCGCCAGAATCACGCTCGGCTGCAGAGTGACTCCAGCTCCAGCACACAGGTGAGCAGCAGCACTGACCCCTCTTGTTTGGCCCCTCTTTTTCTTGTCCCTATGGCTCTGCCCTGCCTTGGGCTCCCCCAGCCATAACCACGATGGGTTTTGGCACACAGAACCAATGTTGGAGGGGGTAAATGAGTGCCCAACCTGCTCTGGAGCTGCTGAGGTCAGAACTGTGCACTGCTTGAGGTGTTTAATACTCACCTGCCCATTCTGCTGTCACACCCAAGGGCCTGTGGCTGCTCCCTCTGTTACTGCCCTGGTGTTTAACACCTGTTTAAGTGACTTTCTGCCCAGTATATGATGCCATGCAAAGCACAGTCCATCGGAGCAGAGATTTGTGGGCTTGGAGTTAGTTGTGCAAATCACCAAGCACTGACCCATATCCAGGGAGAGGAGAGAAGCCAAAGGGTGATTTTTCTCCCTCTCCACTGCTGGGAACATGGGTACTATGTCCCCAAGAGCTGTGTATGCAGCTCAGAGTGCCTGTGTTCCCAACAGTTTGCTCAGTGCCAGGGATTTGATTGCTCTCACGTGTCTCTGCTCACACTTTGCAGGTGTTTGAGTCTGTGGATGAAGTGGAACAGACTGAAGTAGATGCTCAGCTGGAAGATGGCAAACAAAGCAAGATTCCCAATGGGACAGTTCCCAATGGCACGTGTTCCCCTGACTCTGGCCACCCCTCTTCCCAGAACTTCTCCATCGCGTCGGGATTCTCGGAGCGAAGCTTCAGCAACGAGGACAGTGCCCTGGAGACCAACAAATCCTCAGCCAGCTCCCAGGGGAAGGCTGGGGGGAGTGATGTGCCAGCCCCACTGGACACAGATGGTGTCCAGGAAGAGAAGCTGCAAGGCCAAGACAGCCTGGAAGGGGAATTTCCCACTGGTGGCAGTGTGGACTTTGCTCCCATGGGTGAGGGCTCCGTGGGAGTCCTGCGTGACCGCGACGCTGTGGCCCTGACCGTGGTGGAGAGCTGGGCAGACAGTGAGGCTGAGAAGCAGAGCTTGGTGGAGAGTGAGGATAACCTCTCTGAGGAGCCAGAGATGGAGAGTCTGTACCCACAGCTGGATTCTCTGGCTGTGACTGACCTGACCAACACTGAAACATCTGCTCTGTCCTCCACGGGTGTCACCTACTCTGTAAGTATGGACCTGCTCAGGGTGAGTTTCTTCCTGGCTGCCTCACTATTCACAGAACCACAGAATCCTAGGATAGTTGGGGATGGATCTGGAGATCATCCACTCCAAGGCAGTGTCACCTAGAGCAGGTGACACAGGAACATGTCCAGGTGGGTTTGGAAGGTCTCTAGAGAGGGAGACTCCACACCCTCACTTGGCACATGTCTCAATGCTCTGCCACCCTCCATGGAAAGAAGTTCTTCCTCGTGTTGAGGTGGAGCTTGTTGTGGTTTAGTTTGTGGCCATTGCTCCTTGTGCTGTCACTGGGCACCACTGAACAGAGTCTGGCACCATCCTGACACCCCTTGGACATATTTGTATGGATTGATGGATCCCTCTCAGCCTTCTCCAGACTAATCAGGCTCAGCTCTCCACAGTCTCTCCTCAACAGAGAGGTACTCCAGACCCCAATCATCTCTGTGGCCCTCATGGACCATCTCCAGCAGCTCCTTGTCCTCCTTGTGGAGACCAGAACTGAACACACCAAGGCTCACTAGGGCTGAGCAGAGAGGGAGGATTCACCTGCATTTGCCCTGTGCTGATCCCACAGTTGGGTGTAGGGACATTCCCACCTTCCACCCACACTCTGCCCTGTCACTCTGTTACCCTTACAACTTTCTTCTTGCTTTTTATTTTAAAACTAATCCACTTTGCTTTTGTTTTGGGCAGCCAGAGCTGCTGGACATGTACACGGTGAACCTGCACCGCATCGAGAAGGACGTGCAGCGCTGCGACCGCAACTACTGGTACTTCACCCCTGCCAACCTGGAGAAGCTCCGCAATGTCATGTGCAGGTGGGAGCTGGGGGGGTCAGGGCCTTTCCCTGAGTTCACCTCGAGGCTGGAGCCTCAATCTTTGTTCTGGTTACTGAGTTTAGCCTCCTTGAGTTCCTCCCCCAAGCTCCCCCATCATCCCAGCACTGCAGCTCCAAGGGCACTGTGGGTCCCCAGGCCAGCGTGTCCAGCTGTCCTTCCCCATGGCTGTTGGTGGCCAAGGCAGTGGCTTCCTGGGCTGAACCCACTGCAGCCCACCTGCTCTCTGGGATATGCCTGGAAAATGCTTTAATGAGGCTCAGCTCCCAGAGCTGTACTGCTAATGAGGAAGCTCTTGAAGCACTGGGTGGTTAGTGCCTGCCCAAACCCCCAGGAGGGAGCCATTCCTGGGGGCATTTCTGAGTGTCTTTGCTTGGCCCTGTGCCTCAGAGCTTGCTGAGTGACACTCACAGGCTCAGACCAGCTCCAGCTCAGCTGCTGCTCCATGGGCAGTGAAGGATAAAATATAATTACTCATGTTGCAAACACGAAGAGAAGCTGCTGTTCCCTCAGTGCTGTCACTTCATCCGACAGCCAGAGCTGGAGATCTCTGCTGAGATTAGACCTACAGTACAGCAGATTGTGGAGAACCAGTGGGCAGGCTGGAAAAGATCATTCCCTTGTGCCAGCAGCACATCTGAGTCCTCTCTGAACACATTTTGACTTGCTACCAAATAAGGGAAGATATCCCTGCAGGGCTGGGTGCTTCCTGGGACACTAGGAATGGGAAGGCAAGGCAGGCAGTGCTGTGCAGAGAGAACCAAGAGGATCAATCAAGGGGAAAGGATGAGAATGAGAGATGAATTAACAAATTCCATCAGTCTCTGCCCTCTAACCAGTGACCCCACTGTGCTGTGCTCTCCCATTCTGCTTTTCCCTGCAATTTTCCCTGCGCTGGCCATGGCCATGTATGCCTTACCTGGAAGTCACCAGAGGAGTATAACCCTTTACAGCCCAGGGATAACAGATTGAGCAGGTGTGGTTTAGCCCAGCAGCCCAGGGAGGGAGGCAGGGCAGGGGCACTCTCAGGTCCCAGGTCACCTCTTCTGCTCTCTCACACAGCTACATCTGGCAGCACATTGAGATTGGCTACGTGCAGGGGATGTGTGACCTGCTGGCCCCTCTCCTGGTCATCCTGGATGATGGTGAGTAGGTAGCTCTGCTCAGTTTTCCCTATCCCTTTGTGGGAGCACATGGAGAGATCTGCTGCTGGGGGAATCTGCCAGGTTGGTGGTGGCTCTTTGCATGGAGGGTCCAGTGCTTAGAGGTGTGGAGCAGGATCCCCTTTATCCTTGATGCTGTCTGGTTCCCAGGAGCCCAACCTGGACACTGCTTGGACTTTTTGGGGGGATGTTCCTGCTGTGGGAGCAGCTGCAGCAGTGCCAGCACAGCCCAGCAGTGCTGTCTCTCCTCCCTGCAGAGGCTCTGGCTTTCAGCTGTTTCTCTGAGCTGATGAAGAGGATGAATCAGAACTTCCCCCATGGAGGAGCCATGGACACCCACTTTGCCAACATGAGGTCACTGATCCAGGTGAGGGATCCTGGCAGGGGGGCAGTGGCATCTCATACCCGAGGGGAAAGCTGGTCTTGGGATGAGGGACTGAGAGGGAAGCAGGAGGAAGAACAGGGGCTGTGAGGACAGCCTGGAATAACATGGGAGGGAGAAGGTGGTGTGTTAGGAGAGCAGAGGGAAGCAGGCAGAGGGATGGCTGGTGCCTTGGGTGTGCACTGCTGAGCTCCCTTTTGCTTTCCTTCACAGATCCTGGACTCTGAGCTCTTTGAGCTGATGCACCAGAATGGTGATTACACTCATTTCTACTTCTGCTACCGATGGTTTCTCCTGGACTTCAAGAGAGGTGTGTGCTGAGACCACCCAAGGGGAGAAGGGTCTGTCATGCTTCCAGGCTCCTCAGCACACTCTGAGCTTCAACAGTCTGAATTTAACTTTTTACCATAAGCTCCTGTTTCCCTTTTCTTCTCTGGTAGATGTGTGTCTGACTGTTTTGTCTAGATACAGAACCTGTTGTTCCAGAGCTGCTGCTGAGCCTCACCAGGCAGTGTGTTCTGAGGCTTGTGTCACCTGCTGCAGCCTGGAGTATTTCTCCCTGCAGATGACTGACTTATTGCTTTCAACTGGAACAGGTTCCTGTGGGAAGATCTCACCCAAGCACTGCCATGAGCTCTGAGAGTCAGTGGTGTATTCATTGCTGGTCTTGCTGGTAACTGCTGGGCTGTTCTGTGTCCACAGAGCTGGTGTATGATGATGTGTTTGCTGTCTGGGAGACCATCTGGGCTGCAGCACATGTCTCCTCTGCACACTATGTGCTCTTCATAGCCCTGGCTCTGGTGGAGATGTACAGGGACATCATCCTGGAGAACAACATGGATTTTACAGACATCATCAAGTTTTTCAATGGTACAGTTTGTGTCCTGTCGGGTTCACTGTGTGGCAGCTCTGCAGGTGGAGACAGCACATGGCAGACTGGGGACACTCCTAGCTGTGCTGTGCTGTCCATGTTTCACACACAGAGCAGTGTGTTGGGGGGCTGAGGGGGATGCTAAGAACGTGGTGGTAGAGCCTCTGTGCCCCTGAACAGTCAGGCTTGAGGGATCTGGTGGTGCTGGGGGAATCCACTTGTGTTCCCCAGCAGTGCCCCACCTTGCCCTGCTGAAGGGAGCTGAGTGTGGCTGTGCTTGCTGCTGGCTCTCATCATCCCAAGGAGCTGTTAAGGATGGCTCTCCAGGTGTCTCTGTGAGGGAAGGTGTTGGGAATGTGGGCAGGAGCTCACAGCTGCAGAGCTGTGGGGCTGGGGAGGACACACTGAGCTGCTCAGGTCTAACCTTTGGGTCCCTTTTGTGTGTGTTCAGAAATGGCTGAGAGGCACAACACGAAGCAGATCCTGAAGCTGGCTCGGGACCTGGTCTATAAGGTGCAGACTCTGATCGAGAACAAGTGAAGGACATGGGGCAGAGGAGGCATCCAAAGAGCCAGGACTCCCCTCCGACGCTTCCTCCCTTCTCCCGTGTCTCCAAGTGCCACCCCTGTGCCACTCAGGTCGTGGGACATGTACTGCTGTCTGACCTGGACATACCCTCAGCTCCCCAAGTGCTGTGCTCAGCATTAGGCCCAGGGACCCTGGCTCAGACCCTCTCAGCCTGCTGCAGTGACTTAACCAAAGATCCTCCCAGGTGTGTGTTGCTGTGTCGGGAGCAAGACCAGGCAGTCAGTTCCTGGCCCTGCTGCAGCAGGTGTGGTTGACACCACAACTGCCCAGGCACTGCCAGCACCCCAGGGCAGGGCCCAGGGGCTGGGAGAGCAGAGCTGCCAGGGGCCAGCACAGAACCTCTGTGGCACAGATATGAAGCTGCTTCCCTGGGCAGCTGTTCCCATTGTGCCCTGCCAGCACAGGGATGCTGCCAGCTCTCAGCTTCCTACCAACATGATGAGGTTCTGCCAGTAACAGGGGGGGACTTTGATCACAGAAATTCCTCTTTTGATCTTGTCCCTTGATGCATTGCATCCCCTTTAGTGTTTTCGTTCTTAGGGCTCTGTTTTCTCCCTGGGATTTTACATTGTTCCTCTAGTACCTGAGCACACAAGAGTTTCATCTCTGGATGGATTTTTCAGAAGAGCTCCAAATTCAGCATTGGGTTTTTCTTGTAGAATCCAACCTCACCAATGAGCTCTGAACACTGGGAAATCTGCTCCTCACCTCCTCTGGGGAACTCCAGGCTGGAGGTGTCCTTACCTGCCTTACTCTAGCTGCTCGTGGTAGGAGTCTGGTCTCCCTGTCGTTCCTTTGCAGCCCCTGTGAGGAGAGAGCTCCTCAGAAGGCAAGTCAGAGCTCCTGATTATCCTGACTTTCCCTCTGATGGTGCCTGTCTCCCCTTCTATCCATTCAAACTGGCTGCTCGGAGCTCGACAGCTCAAACAATCCCCTTGGTGCCTGCGGGTTCTCCTTGTGTTCTGGGCTGGCTCTCGAGTCCCCTGAGCCCACTGAAAGTCTCCAGTTAGCTCTTGTTGGGCTTCTCCCACCTGCCTGCCAAGAGGAGAATAGCCCAAGGTCCCTGAGTGGTCTTTGCTTTGGGAAGATGCACTTGTGTGGTCACTTTTCCTGGAGCCCACTGCACAAAGTGCCTCTCCAGCTGCCGTGTCCCACCCAGGCTGTGTCCCAGCCAGACTGCCCTGCCGAGGGTCCAGAGGCATTTTTCAACTCAGGTAAAAACAAAACAGGACAAGGAGAGGTGTGGGTGGCCAGAGGGCTCAGCCCAGCCAGGGAGAGGAGGCTCTGGGCTGGAGCTCTTTCTCTAAGGTACTTTCTCTCAAGTTTTGCTGCAAAATTTAATGTTCCCCCTCTGTGCAGTGTGTGATGTGTGTGTGCTCTCCTCTGCCCCTCTGCAAGGGAAGGCCCTGCCCTTGCTTTGCTGCCAGAGTGCTGCCCACAGAAGGGAAAGGGACCCTTCCCTTCTCCTGTGGAACATCTGTCTGTGCTGGTTTGTGTTGGCTCGTGGCTCGTGTCAGATGTTGCTTGCAGAAAAAAAAAAAAGACAGATGTCAACCTGCATTGAGAGAAAACTGCTGCTTCAGGAAAGTTCTGAGGAGCGTGCTGAAGTGGTTTGCTGTTTCTGGGCAAATCAGCTAGAAAAATCAGCACTTTGAGCTGTGCTGGAATGTGGAGGTCACAGCTGGGAAGGACAGGGAGCAGTGGCACATCCTGAGCCCTCTGAGGAAGAGGCTGTGGCAGGTGGGGGAGCAATGGGCATCCCTTTGCTCCTCACAGTCCCAACAGATGTGTACAACCACCTGGGAAACTCCTTGAAGCAGTTTGCTGCAGTAAATCCTCCAAGGGTGCTGCTCTGTCGGAGCTCAGGAAACACAGAGCTTCAGATCTGCCAAGTGAATCTTGTGTGAATCTTTCATCTTTCCAACAAGCAGAGTGAAAAGCTCATGCTCTCCCTCCCTCCCTGCCAGGCTGCTCCTGTTCCCTCAGGGCTCAAGGACAGCCTGTGTCACCTATCTGGAGGGGAAGGGAAGTCTCTGTCCTCCCTTTCCTGAGGGTCAGGAACCCACAGGTCACCTGAGCAGAGTCTGACCAAGCAACATCACTGACACTTTTCCTTCTCAAGCTTCTGTTCTTCTTTCCTTGGTTCTTAAACACAAACAGCCAAGAAATTCTGCACAATCCTTGCTGTGTGTTCTGAGAGTGTCTCTGGGCCGCTCAATAGCAGTGTTTTTTTGAATCATTTCTGGGGGGAACAAGTGTTTATTTATTGGTTGTACCTGACTGTGTGTCCTCGTGTGCTGCTGTGTGAGTGTGTTGTGCAAATGGGCATAGACATCTTCAGTGTTCCTTACAATATCTTGTAAATGTTTACCAGAGAGTTGTGTCTATATATAATATATATACAGTATAGAAGAGGAAATATGTGAATTAAGTGGGTTATTTTTTTGAAGGGGGTGGGGGTGAGGGACTCTTTTTGCTTCTGAGAACTGTGTGGTTTCTATAGCACCTACTCCATGATGTGCCAATCTTTCACTGTCCCTGTGCTGGGAGAGATGTTCTGTGGGGCAAAAGGAAGCTCAGAGCAGAACCACAACCTCAGCTTGGCTTTGCTTTAATTCTGACTTCAAAACTGGGCAAGAGGAACTAAAAAAGAAGGGGAAAAAATGCTCTAAAGAAGCTTTGTTCCAGCTGTGGTGCTGAGCAGGGGCAACTCTGCTCAAGCTCTGGGTCTGGGTGAGAACAGTTGTACAGCTGGGGCTTGGTGTGGGTTGCAAAGACTTTGGATAATCCAATCAACATGGTCTGTGGTTTAATCTAGGACTAAAAGCTTCCTCATTTGTGGCTGGTTCCCCTGTTTGGGGAGGGAGGGAGTGTCCATGGCCTGTGCAGAGCACAGTGGAGCTGTGACCCACTCTCCTGCCCAGCCCCAGCCAGCCCAGCCCTGCTGCCGACACAGCCCCATGCACTGCTCCATCCCAATTCCTCCAAAACCCAGGGAAAACCATCTGCTCCCCAATGCTCCTGTGGGATCTTGAGTCTGGATGTGGAGGTCCATCTTTGTGCTCCTGGGTGGTCTGAAACGGGCTGTGACAGTCTCTGTGCTCTGTCCCTGTCTGGTCCTAGCTTGGTTATGAGCATCTTTCCACAGTCTCCATGGTAGGTTGTTATGCTTGTGGAGACCCAGAGTGAGGCACCACCAGGAATCTGTGGCTTGAGAGCTGTTTGGTGGTTAAAAGCTGCTAAAATGTAAGGAAAGCCTTTTCCTTCCTCTGCCTCTCCTGCCTGGCTCTGCCCCCTGCTAGATCACCCTGAGACTGTGTTGTTCTGGGGTTCCAGCAGTGGGAATTGTGCCCTTGAGAGCCAGCATGGATCTGTGCTGGCTGTGCAGCTGAGGATTGGCTGTTTACCACCGAGAAGGAGCAGGGAAATGCTTGTCCTTATACAGTCATCTTGTCTGGTTCCTTGGGGGAGAGGAATGTCTCATCCCAGCAGCTCTGTGCAGCTGAAATCCACCACAGCAGTGACACTGACACAGGGAATATCTTTAGCTTGGGGGACCAGGGACTGGAGCTGCTGAGGCTTAAACTGCCAGGGCAGGTTTAGATTGGATTTTAGGAAGAGATTCCTCCCTGTGAGGCACTGGCACAGGTTGATCAGAGAAAGCTATGGCTGCTCCATCCCTAGGAGTGTCCCAGGCTGGGTAGGATGGGAATTGGAGCAATCTGGGCTAGGGAAAGGTGTCCCTGCTCATGGCAGGGGGTGGAATGAGATGAGCTTTAAGGTCTTTCCAACCCAAACCATTCCATGACTCTATGCACTCTGCCCAGTCTGCTGCATTCTCTATGTTCTCTGCTCTGGGTCACTCCAGAGCTGAGCCAGAGGAAGGATGAGCTCCATGGGCTGAGCTGTCCAGCTTCCATCACCCACTGAGCATCCACCAAGCTGTGGATTTGGGGTTTGTCTCATGCTAGAGCTGCTCAGCTCACAGATGAGCTTGGTGTTAACCACAGTGAATGTTTGTGTCCTGGTCCCAAGTTCCCTGAGGGAGTGACTAATGGATTTTCTCCCTGCATTTGAGCTTTGTGCTGATGCAACTTTCAACCAGCTTCTGGTACAAATCTCTTGCAGTGTTAGTCATGCAGACCCTTTTGAAGTTGTCTTTGTTCCTAAATGTGTGATTTTTTTAGCACTTTTTCCTTACTGTGTTGAACCTCTGAATCTCTTTGCTGTTTTTCATGAAGACTGAGAGGTTTTTTTTGCATGGGAAGTTCTTGCTGCTGCCCAGTCCTTGCCTCATCCAGCCCTTGCTGCAGTGAGCATCCCTTAACCTATCCAAATGCACTGGGATCCAGCAGTGGAGCTGCAGGTGTCACCCATCATCACTGATGAGAGAAAAACAGGCCAAGAGATGGGACTATCCTTGATGGGGTTGGTTGGGATCACAGATCTGCTGGGAACCCAAATATGGGCACCCTGAGCCCATCCCTAAGTCCCACCCAGGAGACATAAACCTCATGGCCAAGAGCAGTTTATGGGATGAGATTCTTCCTATTTATTTTTTTTTATTGATTTGATACATATTTCACTCTGCTGGGGTGTTTTTCCTCTCTTTCCTTGTTTATCCTGAGTAGCCAGCTCAGCCCCTGCACTGGGAGAAACTGTAGTCAGGATCTTCAATCACTGCTCTGAGCCTGTTCATCAGCAGGACCAAAATGATTGCCATGTCCTCAAAACCTCTGTTTTTCACTCCATGTGGGAGATTTCCCTGAGTACTGAGCAGTTCTGGGCTCATCTTCAGCATTTTACTATCCTGTGAGCACAAACTGATAGAGCACAATATAGAGATGGAGTGACACCTTCCAAGCACTAGGGGAAGGGTTGGAACTCACCAGAACTAGTTTCAGAAATGTCTGTAAAAGGTTTTCTTCAGACACCCTGAAGTTGATCAAATG